CAGGGAGTTGACTACTTTCAGATCTTCTCTCCCACCCAGAAGATGACCACTCTTCGGGTACTGCTGCACGTTGCTGCTCACCGTGACTACGAGCTGCACTCTCGCGACTTCAGCACAGCTTTCCTGCAGGGCAGCCTGCACGAGGAGATCTGGCTACGTCGCCCACCTGGCTTCACTTGGTCGTTCCCTCCTGGTATCCAGTGGAGTCTCCGGCGTCCAGTCTACGCTCTCCGCCAGGCGCCCCGTGAGTGGCACGACACACTGAGGAGTACACTTGCGGCTCTTGGGTTTGCCCCTTCTACTGCCGACCCGTCGCTGTTTCTGCGCACCGACACTTCTCTGCCTCCTTTCTACATCCTCGTGTACGTCGACGACTTGGTCTTTGCCACAGCTGACACTGCTGGACTCGCCTACGTGAAGTCCGAGATGCAGAAGAGACACACGTGCACAGACATGGGTGAACTGCGCAGCTACCTTGGCTTGCAGATCACCCGGGACAGAGCACGCCGCACCATTACCCTGACTCAGTCACACATGGTGCAGCAGGTCCTTCAGCGCTTCGGCTTCACGTACTCCTCGCCTCAGGCCACTCCTCTTCCTACTCGCCACTCGCTCTCAGCTCTGCCTTCGGATGAGTCCGTAGAGTCGAGTGGCCCGTATCCAGAGCTTGTTGGCTGCCTCATGTACCTGATGAACTGCACTCGACCTGACCTTGCATACCCTCTTAGCATTCTCGCACGCTATGTTGCTCCTGAGAGACACCGACCAGAGCACATGGCTGCAGCGAAGAGGGTGTTGCGCTACTTGTGCAGTTAATCGGGCATGGGGCTAGTGCTTGGAGGGCGCAGTCCAGTGGTCCTCACTGGGCACGCAGACGCTTCCTGGGCTGACGACCAGGCTACACAGCGGTTGTCACAGGGTTACACCTTCAGTCTTGGTTCCGGCTCTGTCTCGTGGCGGGCTACTCGCTCGTCTTCTGTTCTCGGCTCCAGTTGTGAGGCTGAGATCTACGCCGGGGCCATGGCTTCACAGGAGCTTTGCTGGCTCACCTACCTGCTGACCGACCTTGGAGAGCCGCCTCGTTCTCCTCCAGTTCTGTACATAGACAACAAGGCCATGCTGGCCTTGTGTCAAGAGCAGCGACTGGAGCATAGAACGAAGCACATTTCTCTCCGCTACTTCCTTGCTCGTGAGCTACAGCAGCGTGGACAGTTGCGGCTTGCGTACGTGGCCTCTGAGGCCAACACTGCTGATGTTTTCACCAAGGCACTTGTGCCTTGTGATCATCAGCGCTTCTGCACTCAGTTGGGTCTTGTCACTGTCTTGCCTCACTTACTCACCTTTTGACCTTGCTTGTTCTGTTACATATATATATACCTGCTCTTGCTTGTCTAGCTATATATATATATATATAAATATATATGTAATCCTGCATGTGAACTGGCCTTGTGGCCTTGAACTTGTGCTCGGAATGTGTGGTGACTTTGTGATCCACCATGAGTTTGCTTTGCTTTGCTTTGCTTGACTGGTCTTGTGCCTCACCTATGTGGCCTTTGAGGCCCTCACTGCTGGTATTTTCACCAAGGCCCTTCTGCCTTGTGATCATCAACGCTTCTGTACTTTGCTAGGTCTTGTGCCTACCTGGCCTCACTTGCTCACTTCTTGATCTTGTTTGTACTGTCCTCTTTCTATAACTGCACTTGCTTGTTTTCCTTTATATATATGATCTTGCATGTGAACTGGCCTTGTGGCCTTACTCTTGTGCTCGGACTGTGTGGTGACTTTGTGATCCATCCTGAGCTTGCTTTACTTTGCTTGACTGGTCTTGTGACCCCTTGTTCTCCCCCACTTTGCTTATGGGGTGTGTCAGAACATATATAGCTTATACTTCTGTGTAGGCTATATTGGGGTATCCCATAGGGGGTACAACCCAATTAGGGTTAGTACTTGTACCCATTTCATTAATAGTTCATTCATTCTCGTTCATACTTTCTCAGGGGGGGGTAGTGTAAGGAATTTTCCCGAATTCCTTATCGGGGTTGACTGCTTCGCGTACAACCCGATTTTCGGAGTTCGCACGTTCGGCCGATTTCAACGCTGCCGAGGCTCCTCGCGTCGCCTTCGGCACTTCCATCGCCAAACTTGCACCCAACCTCGTCTCCCGAGGTTTCCTCCCAGCTAGGCTAGCCCTACATTAGTCAGTGCATTCATTGTATTCTCAGTTCATTCAGTCACAGCCTCGTTATTCGTTTAACTGCGCACTCTCTTTTACAACTCATAACATATACAGAGAGTTTATCAACCAAATGAATGCTATGAATCTATATATCCTAATCAAGGTCAACCATTACGAGGGATTTAGGTACATTTGGCAGCTGAATTTGTGAGTGTGTGAATAACTCAATGCTGATGTCATTGAATCCTCTGCATTGCGACATGGAAAAGGCGCCTGCAATAAAAACCCTCTTCCAGCTGGTGTTTCAAGTCCATCTTCAGGTCGGCAACCCCGAGGAGCTATGTCCCGTAGATTATACAGCCCCAGGGAACTGCTGCCCTCTTCGAACAGGAACAGCTGGGGACCACGTCCGTCATGTGGGGTCAAATCCACAGCGTATCACGCGCATTTCTTCCAAGAATAGGACCACGCGACATATCATCACGCCGTCATGCGTCAAATAGCCTTCCATCCTGTCCACAAGTCATCGGACGCGCCGAAGCTTCTGGCACGGACGCCTGAGCGGCGAACTTACAGTCATGCCTTCACCAGCCATTTTGTTTGGCAGGCAGATCTCTTCTGATATGCACTGCAGCGGCTGCAGTGGCTTTTGCTTCCGTCGAGAGCAACGAGTCATGAAGTTCCTGAGTCAGCAAGACGATGATCCAGCCTGTATCATGCACGCAGAGAGCATTAGTTGGGCGGCAAACTCTGCTGCTGAAAAGCTGAGCTTGACATTCCGACTTGATTTCGCGTTAGGGGAAGCACGGCACGCTCTTCAATTGGATGAACCCCAGGTGGCTGTTCTTATCACGTGGCTCTCCGTGGTGAAATCCTCGCACAGCGTTGTGCTGTCCGAGAAATATCCAGGACGTAGAAATCACGTGGTTCACACACTAGAAAGTTCTCAGGAAAGAGGAAATGCCAGCCCGCATCCCGAGTCGCCAGTCATCTGGTGGGCTGATCTAATATGATTCCGCCTCTTGCGGACAAACCAGCTTCCAGCTGGACAGACAAATGGTCTGGTTCCCCCGTCTGGAGAAGAGACCGCTGTCGGTTCGGAGCGATTTTAGCGAATCCATTGGGCGGTTTTCTAGCCACGACGGCCTCGGATAAGCAGCTTTCGGACCTGAATTGTGGCCGGAAATCGAGGGGGATACTAGCTTTCTCCGCCTGCTGCCTCGCGGTTGATTACCCCGTGGTTTCCCAGACAGGCCGATTGTGAAGAATCGGTTTCATAATAAACTGAGAGGAGGATTCCAAGACGAGTTACTCTTTCGCCTCGGTTCAAGTCTCGGACAAGCCCTCAAATTCAAATCTCTGAGGCCTAGAGTTACTGTTGGTAGCGATTTCGTTAGTTATTGAAAGCATCCGGCCCCAGATTCTGACCTGTAGTCTTCTTCCGTGAGCTCGCCGCGGTGTTTCTTTCAGCTCATGCTAAACCGTGTTACACTCTCGTATCTTGTTCCCGAACTATGGTTATGCGTTGTCATCAGCCGTTGAGTCCTCCACACGTTACATTAGTTGGAGGAGATACATCCATGGAGGCGGCAATTGCGGATTTGGAGGTTTGCCATGCGTCGCTGAAGCACCAGATGACCAAGATTCAGTTGGTGAAGGAGCAGCTGCGCGAAAAATGGAAGCAGAGTAACGAGGTACGCTCATTTAACCGAGTTGATCTTGACACATCATGATCATCATATTCACTACGCCTGACTACACTACCTGATCATTTCTTGAAACCTGTTTCACGCAATACTGCACACTTGCAGGACGCGGACATCCCCAAGAATTCTGCTCATCCCATTCGTTGGTCAAGCCCGGACAGATCAGGCTCTTTCTCAGCCTCCCAGAGCCAGTCTGCGGTCGTCTCTCCAGCTTTCAGGAACCTGCGTCCGCTGAGCCTTCCAAGAGAAATATCAATCGGTTCATCAGAGAATGGCTCATCAGACAGCGACGCTCACTCACCCCTCAGGCGATTCCCCTCGGGAATCCATGGCTGGGATTCCGAGGACCAAGCCATCTACGTCTTCAGGCCTGATGGCACCATCGTCATGTGGTACGTGATGGGTCCAGTGTGGTCCAGTACGGTTCCGCTCGAACATCCATGGTTGGGATTCTGGGAACCAAGGTATCTACGTCTTCAGGCCTGATGGCACCATCGTCATGTGGTATGTCGTACGGGATTTGTTTAGGATTTGTTTTTTCCCGTGTCTGTATCAAACTTTTTTCAGTCAGATTTGAATTGATCAGATTGTTCTAGTCTAGTGCCCCTTGGCTCACAGTTGTTGAGTCATTGACCTCTCCTCCCTTAACTCTATCTTTCATGCCTGGTGTCTCAGGAATTCGGGGTCGGAGAAATTGTTTGGGTACACAGAGGAGGAGGCCGTCGGGCGGAAATTAGGAGAGCTGCTGTGCTGCCAGCAGTCGAGCCGCGCCGCCTCGCAAATCATTGCCCGCCTGCTGGTCAGTCAGTCAGACAGATTACCGAATCAACTATATTATCAACTACACTCCTTGTTGAGCATTTTGTCGTGGCGTTTTCACTCCTGCCCTGGCTCGTTGATAACACCGCTGGGGCTGTCCCATGATTGTGTGGTCTGTGAGTCGTCTGCAGTGGGACAATTTTTTGACGCAATGATAACCGACTGGCCCATCCTTAACGGCAAGACTACTGTGATAACTTTCCTTTCTGTCGCTCCTCTCTCTTCTTTCCTTGCAGGGGGGACAGTGCTGGGCGGGGAACTCCCCCCTTACCAAGAAGTCAGGCGAGGTGTTTGACGCAATGATTACGGATCGGCCTGTAATAGACAACAAAGGCAACGTTAGCATGATCGTGGGTGTGGCGAGTGACAGCCGCCCGTTCAAGGAGCAGATTCAAGCGTTTATCGGCGGCTGCAGCAGCAGCATGCACGTCAGCACGTCCCTTGGGCCTGTCTCCACTGTGTCTCCTGCCGCCGCCACTTTTCATTCTGCTGCTTCTTCTCTGCCTGGTTCTGCTGCTGCTGTTGTTGCTGCTGCTCACCTTGGTGCTACTGCCTCCTTAGGTACTGCTGCTGCCACTCCTAATGGCTTCCCATCGCAAACTGCAGCAGAGGACAAGGCAGAGTGTCAGCAGGTAGCAGCAGGCCTCAAGCAGGCAGCAGCAGGCCTCAAGCCCCTCCGTTGGTCAAGCCCAGACAGATTAAGCTCCTTCTCAGCCTCCCAGAGCCAATCCGGGGTCGTCTCAGCAGCTCCCACGAACCTGCTTCCGCTCAACCTTCCCGGTCACTGGGATGGTTCATCAGAGGGCGACGCAGATAATCAGTCACGCTCACCTCTCAGGCGGTTCCCCTCGGGAATTCATGGTTGGGAATCAGAGGAGCAAGCGATCTACTGCTTCCTGGGCGATGGAATCATAACCATGTGGTAGGTGATGAAGGGTTCAGTGCGGTCGATTCTGCACTGCACCTAGTCACTTGTCAAGAGTCTTCAGGCAAATTGATGCCCTCTTCGTGATCATCGTAGGTTCCTATTCCTCCTTGATGTCACTGTTGGGTGATTATTAGACTTCATTGGTTCCAACCCCCCTTTTTTCCTCCCCTTGCAATTTGCAGGAACGCAGGGTCGGAGAAATTGTTTGGGTACACAGAGGAGGAGGCTATGGGGCGGAACATAGTGGAGCTTCTGTGCTGCAAGAAGACGAGCCACGCCGCCTTTCAAATCATTGCGCGCCTGCAGGTCAGTCAGTCAGACCACCAAATCAGCTACACTCCTTGTCGCTTTTTTGTCCGCTCGGGTTACTCCGGCCATGGCAGTAGTTTACCTGGCTGGGACCAGCCCATTTTCCTCAACGCTTGCAGGTGGGACTGTGCTGGACAGGCAACTTCACCCTTGCCTCTCGCCAAGAAGTCAGGAGAGGTGATTGACTTGACGCGATGAAGGCACACCCGCTGGCCCATCGTTGACTGCAAGGGCAAGGAGTGTGTTAAACTTTAAGCCTTCCACCTCCCCTTGTGCTTGTTTTTTGCAGGAGGGACAGTGCTGGACTGGCAACTTCCCTCTCACCAAGAAATCAGGCGAGGTGTTTGACGCAATGATAACAGATCGGCCCATAATTGACAGCAAGGGAAATGTGAGCATGATCGTGGGAGTGGCGAGTGACAGCCGGCCGTTCAAGGAGCAGATTCAAGCGTTCATCGGCAGCTGCAGCAGCAGCATGCACGTCAGCACGTCCCTTGGCCCTGTGTCGACTGCTTCTCCTGGTGCCGCCGCTGCTGCCGCTGCTTTTCATTCTGTTGCTTCTGCTCCCCCTGGCGCTGCTGCTGCTTCTCCCCTTGGTGCTGCTGCTTCCACTCCTGATGGCTTCCCATCGCCAGCCACGCCACTTGAGAGCATCCCATCGCCAACTGCAGCAGAGGACAAGGCAGGGGATAAGGCAGAGCATTGGCAGTTAGCACAAGGCTTGAAGCCACTGCAGCTGAATGTGACCACTGCACCCCTGCGACCGATCCGGGTTCCTGAAAACGCGACCATTTTTGCAACCGGAAATGAAACTGGAGGTGTTCCTTCCCGTGTGGCTCGTGTGGCCTCCCGGCTTTCTGCTGCTCCTCTGCGTTCTCCCTCTCACACGAGCACCACACCTCTGCGTCTCCCTGCGTTGGCCTACACAGATGAGGCTGATATGACTGTGCCGCATGCAGGCCTTGTTGGTCGCGGCTCGGGAGCTCTGGGCTTCCAGGGAGAAGGAGATGATGGGGGAGAAACGGCAGCAATGGCGTTTGATTTCCCGAAGGGAGAAACAGCAGTGCCATTTGATTTCAGTGCAGAAGGGGGGCCGGGAGGAGGAGAAGCAGCATTACCATTTGAGTTTGATGCAGAGGGCGAGGCTGCTCACGCGGAGGAGCAGCACCCGTGGCACATACCTTTTGCTTCAACTGTCCTGTCCCTGGTAACCTTCGTATTCTTTCTAGCCCTTCGTTTCGTGGTAACAATCTAGTTCTGTGTAAGTAAGTAACCCTTTGTTCGTTTCACAGCCTGACACCACCACCCACCCGTTGTGCACCCACTCTGCCATTACATTACTCCGCTCAACCCCCCCCCCCTTGTGCATCTCCCTCTTGTGCTCTCGCTCTTTAAATTCGCCTCTAGAAGGAATTATTCACTCATGTATGCGCATCCCATTCACCCCCTCTCTCCCTCGCAGGCTGGCAGGGTGGCACAGTCAATCGGGCAGGTGCGCAAGCGCCTCTCTCCCACCAGCTCCACTGTATCCTCTCAAACCCACCTCCACCTCGCAGAACCCATGTCACCGCAGCACCATCTCCCACTGCCACCACCAGTAGCAGCAGCAGCTGCTGCAGCTGAGGCTTCCATATCAGAAACTCGTTTGGGTGGGGGCCTGCAGAGGAGGGTGGTGCAGTGGGGGAGGAGTCCCAAGGCGAGCAGGCTGAGTCCTGAAGGGGACAGGCTCAGCCGTCACAACAGCGGCTCTGGTAGCTCTTGCAGCAGTTCTACCACTGCTGGCGCCGCTGCTGCTGGGGCTGGTGGTTGGGGCGGTGGTGGGAGTGACAGTGCAAACCGAGTTCACGGCACAGGCGGCCCTGGTGCTGATATTAGCAAGGGTTTTAGGATTCCTGCTGCCAGGCCGCGCCTGGAACCTGAAAGCTCACCTCTTGATGCTTCTACAGCTAGTGCTGCCACTGCTGCAACTGCCGCTGTCGCTGCAGCTGCTGCCGCGGCTGCTGCTGCGGTTGCTCATAGTGCTGTGTCTGCTCCCACTCCTGAATCCGCTGCTTCTCCACTGCTTACTCTCGCTCCTCCAACGTTCCGCCCGGTTCACTCCCCGCCTCTTCCCGCCGGTGCTGCTGCTCCTCCTCTGGTTTCCACTGCTGCTCCAGCTGCTTTTTCAGCGGCTGCGACGACAGCTACTGCTCCGGGGGCTCCTGTCTTGGCTCTCACGTCCGCCTCCTTCCTTCCCTCCTCCTCCTCTCTCCTCCCGCTCTCGCCCTGTAGTCGCCCCTCCTTTGCTCCCACAGCACATGTGTCTCAGTTCGCTCCCTTGCAGCCTGAAACGTCCCCTGCTGCTGCTGCTGCTGCTGATGCTGCTCCTGCTGCTTCTCCTTGGCACGGTTTTGGTTTCAATTCTGGTATTGCTGGTGATGCTGGTGCTGAAGGTCGTGCTGGTGTCGGTGCTATCGTGCCTAGTGGTGCCCGTGCGTCTGCTGCTCTGGCAGCTGCAGCTGCAGCGACAGCGTGCCATGCACACATGGAGGATCTGATTCTGGCGGAATCTCCCAAGTGCGCGGGCGGCATGGGTGGCACGGACGGCATGGGCGGCGCGAGCGGCATGGGCGGCGCGGGCGGCATGGCTGGTATGGGAGACATGGGAATGGGGGATGTGAGCATGGGAGGGCAGGAGCAGAGGGATAGGCTCTTTGATCCGCCTCTCAGGAGGCTTCTGGAGAGGCAGCAGGGCGATGTGAGCATGCGAGAAGGAGAGGAGGAGCAGAGAAACGCTCTGGCGCAGTGGCAGGGTCTGGCACAGGGTATTGGCGATGGGCAGGGCAGTGGGGGCGCTGGGAGGGAGTTGCGGGTGGAGAGGGAGCAGGGCAACAGGGAGAGGCAGGAGAGGGAGCGGTTTTGGGAGGACGGGGTGGCGCGGTGGGAGATTCGGTGGGAGGACATTCAGCTGGGGCAGGAGGTGGGGCACGGTGAGTTGATGGCTGCTGCATAATGCAGCATTCACATATATCATCATACATGGTGCTTTGGCTTGATTGAAATGAAACTCGTTTTTCCTCCTCTCTTTGCACCCTCCTCTCACCTCTTCTGTGTCGTTCGTGGTGTGTGTACCTTTGCAGGGGCGTGTGGTACGGTCTATCACGGCACCTGGAACGGCTCAGTAAGTGAATTTGTAGCTGGCGCGTTAGATCCTCTCATCTCCCCTTCCTAAATTCTTTTTTCCTGTCCGACATTCGTTTTTCATGTCCATTGTTCATGCCAATCCGCATTTCGTTCTGTCCCTATCCCCTCATGTCTCCTGTTTTTCTTCGTCTCGTATTCTCATGTGTCTCCTTTTGTCCTGCGCTTCCTGTTTCCCTGTGTTCCATTCTCTCTCTCTCTCTCTCTCGATGGCAGGACGTGGCAGTGAAGGTGTTTGCACGGCACGACATCAGTGGTGATTTCATCACTTTTGAGGCGCCTCAAAAAACCGCGAGACAGGAGACGACTTTTGAGGCGCCTCAAAAAACCGCGAGACAGGAGACGACTTTTGAGGCGCCTCAAAAGGTGTTTGCACGGCACGACATCAGTGGTGATTTCATGCGCGACTTCAAGAAAGAGGTACGCGATTGCAGCTTGCGTGTCTAAATTCTCAAAGGAAATGTCTGATTGCGTCTTGCACGCAAGTCTTACCTTGTTACAGTACAGGCATTTTTTCCTCCCAGCGTCCTCTCTCCCGCACACTGCAGCATCCCAGCATTCTCCTACTCTTGTGCCCAAGCAGATTTCTCACCCGTCATAGCCTGCAAAAAAAAAAACTCATTTTCTTCCTCGTGCTCTTCCCCTTCATTCCCGCTCAGATCCGCATAATGGAGAAGCTGCGTCATCCCAATATTCTTCTCTTCATGGGAGCTGTGGCATCTCTCGACCATCTCGCCATCGTGACAGAATTTCTTCCCCGCGGTAGCCTCTTCCGCCTGCTCCACCTCCGCACTGCTGGGCTCACCCGCCTGAGACTGCTGCGCATGGCACTGGACGTGGTGAGTTGCATGCTTTGTCTTTACTTGGCGTTTGTCTTTACAAGCTGCTATGAGTTCCTCCTCCGCTGCATTGACTTACCTATCCTGTCTCCCCTATTCCCCTTTTTCTCCCCACCTGTCCTCCCGTTCAGGCTCGGGGAGTGAATTATCTGCACAAGTGCTCGCCCCCTGTAGTGCATCATGATCTCAAGTCCGCCAATCTGCTCGTTGACAGGAACTGGACTGTTAAGGTACACCCTGCGCTATTCACTCTTTTGCAGAGCCTCATAAGACGTTATGCATCACAATCTCAAGTCCGCCAATCTTCTAGTGGACAGGAACTAGACCGCTAAGGTATGCCTCCTGTTGCTTCAAGAATGTATGTTTGGGGAATTCATGTGTAAACAAGGCACACATGAGAATGTTTCTCTGCCGTACGTTCAAGCACACTGCAGTGCTGTGCACTGAGGGAGCATGAGTTGCGTCCTCCCTGCCATTCATTGCCATGCTGTGCACTGAGGGAGCATGAGTTGCGTCCTCCCTGCCATTCATTGCCATGCTGTGCACTGAGGGAGCATGAGTTGCGTCCTCCCTGCCATTCATTGCCATGCTGTGCACTGAGGGAGCATGAGTTGCGTCCTCCCCGCCATTCATTGCCATGCTGTGCACTGAGGGAGCATGAGTTGCGTCCTCCCTGCCATTCATTGCCATGCTGTGCACTGAGGAAGCATGAGTTGCGTCCTCCCTGCCATTCATTGCCATGCTGTGCACTGAGGGAGCATGAGTTGCGTCCTCCCTGCCATTCATTGCCATGCTGTGCACTGAGGGAGCATGAGTTGCGTCCTCCCTGCCATTCATTGCCATGCTGTGCACTGAGGGAGCATGAGTTGCGTCCTCCCTGCCATTCATTGCCATGCTGTGCACTGAGGGAGCATGAGTTGCGTCCTCCCTGCCATTCATTGCCATGCTGTGCACTGAGGGAGCATGAGTTGCGTCCTCCCTGCCATTCATTGCCATGCTGTGCACTGAGGGAGCATGAGTTGTGTCCTCCCCGCCATTCATTGCCATGCTGTGCACTGAGGGAGCATGAGTTGCGTCCTCCCTGCCATTCATTGCCATGCTGTGCACTGAGGGAGCATGAGTTGCGTCCTCCCTGCCATTCATTGCCATGCTGTGCACTGAGGGAGCATGAGTTGCGTCCTCCCTGCCATTCATTGCCATGCTGTGCACTGAGGGAGCATGAGTTGCGTCCTCCCTGCCATTCATTGCCATGCTGTGCACTGAGGGAGCATGAGTTGCGTCCTCCCTGCCATTCATTGCCATGCTGTGCACTGAGGGAGCATGAGTTGCGTCCTCCCTGCCATTCATTGCCATGCTGTGCACTGAGGGAGCATGAGTTGCGTCCTCCCTGCCATTCATTGCCATGCTGTGCACTGAGGGAGCATGAGTTGCGTCCTCCCTGCCATTCATTGCCATGCTGTGCACTGAGGGAGCATGAGTTGCGTCCTCCCTGCCATTCATTGCCATGCTGTGCACTGAGGGAGCATGAGTTGCGTCCTCCCTGCCATTCATTGCCATGCTGTGCACTGAGGGAGCATGAGTTGCGTCCTCCCTGCCATTCATTGCCATGCTGTGCACTGAGGGAGCATGAGTTGCGTCCTCCCTGCCATTCATTGCCATGCTGTGCACTGAGGGAGCATGAGTTGCGTCCTCCCTGCCATTCATTGCCATGCTGTGCACTGAGGGAGCATGAGTTGCGTCCTCCCTGCCATTCATTGCCATGCTGTGCACTGAGGGAGCATGAGTTGCGTCCTCCCTGCCATTCATTGCCATGCTGTGCACTGAGGGAGCATGAGTTGCGTCCTCCCTGCCATTCATTGCCATGCTGTGCACTGAGGGAGCATGAGTTGCGTCCTCCCTGCCATTCATTGCCATGCTGTGCACTGTTCTGGCATCTTTTCTCTATAGCTGACCGGACTGAGATTTATTATCCCTCCTGCCTGTCTGTTTGCAGGTGGGCGATTTTGGGCTGAGCAAGATGAAGTTTGCAACGTACCTCTCTGCTCGCTCAGGCCGCGGAACAGTGCGTTTCACTTTCTTCCCCTTCTTTCCTCCGCATGTATCATGGAAGGCGTTTTAGCTCTGATACATGCTTCTCATGTGCTGTCCCACTCGTCTCTCCTTTGCTTCTCTTTTCGATCGAATGTGTTTGTTTTTCGAATTTTGGCTTTTTGCACGTCCCCTGTTGGCTTGTTGAGTTCACCTCTCCCTACTCTCTTTCCTCTCCTGCTCACGCTCTCTCCCTCTGTCCTGCTCCTATGCTCTCCCTCTCTCCCCCCACCAGCCCCAGTGGGTGGCCCCAGAGGTGCTTCGCAATGAGCCCTCCCTCTCCGTATCACACCTCAGTTCCCTTACACTCATGGCTTCTCCATCTCCGTCTCTCCATCTCTCCCCTGCCACCACTCGCCCTCTGAACTCCCCCCCACCAGCCCCAGTGGATGGCCCCAGAAGTGCTTCGCAATGAGCCCTCCAACGAAAAGTGAGTCGCATGATTCATTCTTGACTCCCACCCCACGCAAGGGAGTCGTCGTATGGTGGTTCTTCTCCCTTGCGCACGCGCGCCGCAAGTCGATGCATGGTTACTCTGCTCGATTCTCTTTGCCAGTGTGCCCTGTTCGGTCTTCTTTCCTTGTTGCTTAATCTCCCATTCTCTATGCCATGTATTCCCATCCATGCAGGTCCGATGTATACAGCTTTGGAGTGGTCCTGTGGGAGATGGCAACGCGACAGGTGCCATGGGACGGGATGAACCCCATGCAGGTGGTGGGGGCTGTGGGCTTTCTGGAGCAGCAGCTGCCTCTGCCGACATCCATTGATCCAGTCATGAGACTTCTCATCTCCGACTGCTGGCGCAGGTACGATTACAGCAGGTGCAACTGGGGCGGGTGCAACTGGGGTGGGTGTGCTGGCGCAGGTACGATTACAGCAGGTGCAACTGGGGCGGATGCAACTGGGGTGGGTGTGCTGGGGCAGGTGGTGGGGGCTGTGGGCTTCCTGGCGCAACAGCTGCCTCTGCCGCCATCCATTGATTCCGCCATGAGGCTTCTCATCTCCGACTGCTGGCGCAGGAATGGCTGGGGAAGGTGTGTCTATGCAAGGTATGACTGGGTCACGTGCGAGTAATTAGTGGGGATCTTCAAGAGAGGAAGCATACAGCTGCCTCTGCCGCCCTCCATCGACCCCGCCATGAGGCTTCTCATTTCCAACTGCTGGCGCAGGAACGACTAGGGCATGTGTAACTGGGGCGGGTGCGATAGATAGGTGTGATTGGGGCAGGTGAGTTCCGCCTCCCTCCATCGATCCAACTGTGAGGCTTCTCATCTCCGACTGCTGGCGCAGGTACGGCTGGGGCAGGTGTGACTGGGACAGGTGGGAGTGAGTGATGGGGATTCTCGAGACAGGCTCATACAGCTGCCTCTGCCTCCCTCCATCGACCCAACTATGAGTCTTCTCATCTCCGACTGCTGACGCAGGTACAGCTGGGGAGGTAGTTTCTCGGGAAGGTGCAATAATGGCTGATGCGACTGCAGCAGATGGAACTGGGGCAGGTGAAGTTGCTTGGTTGTTAGGCACTGCTTTGATCTTTGCCTATCTACTCACGCCCTTGTATATCTCTTGCTCCTCACTCTCTCTCTTTCCCCCCAGCCCTAACGAGCGGCCATCTTTCGATGAGATCACATCAAGACTGAAGTTGATGGTAAGAGAGTGTAAGGGGCAAAAATAGGTGGAACAGCAGGAACGATAGGTGCATTAGGGATGGCAGGAGCAGCTGGGACAGCATGAACAGCAGGGATGGAACTGCATAAGGCAGGCTAGGTGTAGATGGTCAGACTGACTCTAAACACTTCTGCTGGTATATCGTATACAAAGGAGGGCAGGTAACTGCATGATAGTTTTCTACCTAGAAGGGTGGAGAGAGTGGTATAGGTCTATCATTTAGTGTACATAAGTAGGCCATCCTTGGATTGTTATGTGTTGGTAGTGCTTCCAGAAATTTCTGGATGCAAAAACTAGTTCTGTTACATGTATGCTTTGCCATTGTAACATATGCAAGAGTTGAATCATTGATGTATCGAATGTGTTTCCAATGTTTCCAACCCTAACCAGCTTCTTGTGTTAATGTTGTAACTCTTGTTTACTTATGTGAAGCATGATTGTGGCTGAATCCATATATGGTAAACCTGGCACAGTGAATGTGAGTTGGGCTGATGATGAGATGAGGAAGTTTTGTGATGACAGGAATTGGTGACCTGTAGTCCTGCATATTGTATACATCAACTGCATAGACTAATTTGCACACTGTAGAATCTAGGTTGTACACATCCACTGCCATGCAGTAATATCTCATTTACTGTATATACATTCACTGGCAAACTGTATCTTATTTGTATTCACTAATTGGCAAACAGTAGTATCACACATGTACACAGTATGCATTCAGAGAGAACACACCTGCTAAAGGGAGAAGCGAAATCCACCCACTTTCAGTCCAATACAGATACAATATATCAGCCCTGCACCCTCTGCCCTCTCGTCCCCCTTCCCCCCCAAACGCACCAATACTGCTTCCACTCTGCTGCTTTCGCTCTACTGCTGTCACCCTGCTTCACACACTCTGCTGAGCCTATCGTGCAACAGGGTCTTCCAATTTACCGCTCCACAGAAAACCTCTGCTTCACCTTCCTCCAAACCATTTGGTAAGCCCCCGCCTTCCCCCCTCCATCTGTAAACAGTGCAACAGGTCCATACACAAGCCCCTCCAAACATGACCTACTGTACCGAGCTAACTTTTGAGTCGACTCAAATGTACCGCAGCAACCCTCCACTGCACTCTCCTCTTAACCACCCACTTCGCCTGCACCTTCTGGCTGGTCCTTTGCTGATCATAAACTTGCTTCTCCCCCGCGCACCCCCCCTTATCTGTACACTATGCAACACGCACTCGCCCATACACAAGCCCCTCCACACACGCCCTACTGTGCCATGGCAACCTTCCGTTTCACCTTCCTCTTAACCACCCGCTCAGCCCCCACCTTCTCCGCTCCACTTTCACCACCACCCTTTCCCTCCCCTTCCCCTTTCCCAGCCACTTTCCTCACACCAAGTCGCTTTGCCCCCACCGTCCCTTTGACTCTCCTCTTACTGCCCCCGAACCTGAGGAATTGAAGTAGGGATGAGAACGTGGGCTTACTGCCGAGCCTCTTCCCCGAGCCTGCGAGCGAGGGTCGGTGGTAGGCTCGGTGCTCTGCCTGTGCCTGCTGCACAGATTCGCTGTCCAGCCCGAGCCAGGAGAGGCGCGATGGCTCCCCCAGCAGTATGTTGCCGACCCTGAGGAAGAGGTTCGGGAAAGCATGACGCATGTTAGGACAAAAAGGCAGCATAAGAATCGGCTAAAAAACCAGCTGTCACAAGGTCTCACTCAGATCCGGTCTCACTCAGATCCGGTCTCACTCAGATCCGTGGTACCAAGGGTGGGTATCAGGACGTAGTTGAAATGCTCCTCAGCGAATATAATCACAGCGAGCCCATTCAGTAATCAGCTCTCCCAATGTCTCACCTCAGAGCAGTGGTGCCAAGAATGGCATGGCATGGCATGGCACACAACTAGCTTCATACAATAGCGGGGTGAATTTTGAGTCTCAGAGCAGTGGTGCCGAGAATGGCATGGGATGGGACACAACTAGCTGCATACAATCGCGGGCAGGCTCTCACGCCGTCTCGCCTTAAGGCAGTGGTGGCGCGGATGGCCACGGGGAAGTGGGTGAAACGCTCCTGCAGCACCCTGTCCGCCCCATACAGCAGCTGTGGCTACAGGGATTTGGCAAGGGAGTCAATTATCGTAATGTTGAGCTCTCCCAAAGACTCACCTCAGGGCAGTGGTGCCGAGGATGGCCACAGGGATATGGTTGAAATGCTCCTGTAACACCCTGTCCGCCCCATACAGCAGCTGGTACCGAAGGTTCCCGGAGAGTCCCGTGAAAGCACCAAATGCTACAGCCGACTTTGCTGGCGATGGCACCGCTACAGATGGTTGATACTGATCCGCCTCCCCACTCCCTCTGGAAGATGCTCCCTCTTTCTCTTGTGACGCTCCTGCTCCTGCTTTCTTCCTCCCTTGCATCACTTTCAGTATAGTATTTGAAGCTGCCCCACCAGCAGCACCCACTGCTGAGCCAATCAAGCTCAGCCGGGCAGCGTTGAAGAAGAAACTTCCCACCCGCTCGGGCAGCTTAAATTCCCGGAGCGCGTAGCTGCGATCGAAAACATTATTGGGCAGTTTTTGCAGCGCCATCTGCAACTCATTGGTGGCAGTAGAGCCGTAGGATCGAGAGGGGGAGAGGCACCATACGAGTGCGAGGTTGCAGAGGGAGAGAGTGAGGACGTTGGTCAGGGCTAGGGGCCATTCTTGGACAAGTTTTGACTTCACGCCCTGCCCATCCTGCCCGTTCAGCTGCCCGTTCTGCTGCCCGCGCCGCTGCTGCACTTCCCAACGCACTGCTGTGGCGACGGTGGCCGCTTGCTCGAGTGCGAGCTTGAAGAGGAAGGCTGGGTCTGCCATCATTCTGAGCGGTTGAGTAGGGTGTGGGGGAGTGTGGAAGGATGTGGGAGGGAGGGGGGAAGTGGGGTGAAGTGTACGTGAAGTGTTAGTTGTTTGTGGAGGAAGCGAGGTGATTTGCGCTGAAACACACACACACACACACACACACATGCTCACACACATACAGACATGCTCACACACACATACACACACACACATGCTCACACTCACACACACACACACACACACACACACACACACACACACACACACACACACACACACACACACAAAACTCACAGACTCACCACATCCCCACCACACGTACCATATTCCCACCACACCCACCTGCCAATGAAGGCGCGGGAGAGGTCAGGAGGGGCGAGGCGGGAGATGAGTCTGGCAATGGTGGGTCGTGCGTCCATGCTCATCAGCCGCGCCACCTGCGCTGAACTCACCAAGCCCTGGGGGAAACCAGGGTAAGAGGGGGAAAAAGGGGGGGAAAGAGGGGTTGAAGGAAAAGGGGGTGAAGAAGGTGCGGGAAGAATGGGGGAAGGGGGTGCTCTTGACTGTTCGGTGGGTCATGCGCCCATGCTCATGAGCCGCGCCGTCTGCGCTGAAATCTCCACGCTCTCCACCACTCACCACCACTCGTCACCACTCACCGGCTCCACAGCCCGCCGAATCCCAGCAGGCAGGTCCGCCATGGTTCGAAACCACTCCTCCAGCACCGCCTGCACGGACGCGCGGTCAAACACCTCCCCGTTCTTCCACCATACGTTACCACTCACCACCATCCATCACCGCTCAAAACCGCAAACAGCACTCACCAGCTCAACAGCCCTTCGTATTCCAGCAGGCAGGTCCGCCATGGTTCGAAACCACTCCTCCAACACGGCCTGCACGGACGCGCGGTCAAACACCTCCCTGCTCCTCCACCACTCACCACCATTCATCACCCCTCACAACCGCAATCAGCCACTCACCATCTCCACAGCCCGTCGTATGCCAGCGGGAAGGTCCGCCATGGTTCGAAACCACTCCTCCAGCACCGCCTGCACCGACGCGCGGTCAAACACCTCCGCCACGACCGCGCGGCGAATGAACCCGTCGTCGTCGCCGTCGTCGCCGTCGTCCTCGCCGAAATATTCGTCGTCATCGCCCCCGTCGTCGCCGCCGTCGCCGCCCCCGTGCCCGATTCCTTTACCGATGTTGCCGCCGCCTCCCCCGAGCTCAATCTGGGAAGAAGGAATGCAAGGTTCAAAGCGTGGTGGTTTCGTTCAGAACGTCGCACAAGACTTTTATTCTAATACCAAAGAGCAAATTAGGTCGGAAGTCTGTTTTTGAGGCGCCTAAGAACCAGATTTTTAATTTTATCACAGATAACAGCTTAGGTGGGAAGGATGAGAGGGGGAGTGGGGATGATAAAGTGGTTGGCCCGCCTATCTAGTGCTTCACCTGCGCGCCGGTTTTGGCGGTGGAGAATGAGAGGTCGAGCTTCGACTTCTCCAGAGTGGCCCCGCCAAACGCGCCGTAGCCTTTCTTCATCACGGGAACCATCATCCTGCCCGACGGCACCAGAGGGAAATCGGACGGTCCTCCTTCGCCCCTTTCCTGACCCTGCCCCTGCTCCCCCGCCAAACCCGCCCCTCCTCCCTCCGCCGCGATCGGTACGCTTCTCCTCTGGCCAGAACGACAACGCTTGTGGATTTTGCGCGGGATTCTAGGAGGATATTTTGGGACAAGAGTTTGTGACAGGGGGTCCGGGCTGGACGCGAAAGCCAGGGATGGGATTCGAGAAGGCGGGAGAAAAGAAGTGTGCAGCGCGGAAGGAGGTGAGGACGACGTGTGGATTTTGGGATACTTTACGTGCTGCTGAGCGAACGAGGTATTTGGTTGGAGTAGCATGGCTGATCCTAGACGCTCCGCCATGCTCATACTAGAAAAAAAGTAACGTATTCTAGATTTCTGGCTCTTTAGCTGTTTCGAAGTAGCTCCCAAAAATATTCCAAGTCGGAGAATCACCCGCTTTGGTGACGCAGCTAAAGCGGATGTTGTGGAGTGGACAAAGAACGAATGAACGAAGATGGGAAGCTGGCCTTGCTAGTCTTGCTTAGCCTTGCTTGTGTCGAAAACTGGTTTTGAGCAAGATGGGAGAGGAGCGGGAAGGGATATGCCGAATGGAAGCGAATGCACGGGCCTTGAGATTGTGACCCCTGGGGATTTGCGTTACGCGTTGTTAGGCGCTTGGGAATGTCGAAATGAACGAAAACAAGTTTACAAAATGTTTGTGAGAGTAGTTGTGTTGGTGAACTTCCACATGTTTCCAGAATACGGGCAGTTTCGAGCATTCGTGAAATTTCTGGAATTTGGTCGGATTGGATGGTTCGGACATTTGAAATGCCTGAACACTGGACAGCAAACACGCGCGCCTTGTGGTAACGAAGTTCAACCAATCATCGGCTGTAGAATTACAAACGATCTCCACGCGGGCAACCAAGACTAGCTGTAAAAGTGAAAAACCACGTGGAATCAGATCCTCTGATCCCGCTATTGACACTTCAATAAAGGACAAACAGGGATGCAACCCGATTACTGGAGTGCAGTATACAGCTACTCCTTACAGGAAATGTGAATTTAAAACCATCCTAAATGGAAGCTGCTTGACTGCATACCATCCGCTCCGCCTTGATTTTGCTACACTAACTCACACTGAGCAGCTAAGCAAGCAGGAAACTGAACCATATAATTTAAGACCGCAACACCATGTCCAGTGCTTGCTACTTTAGACGATGACCAACTTCTGATTGGGTTGTGCTGACAGCCCAACATATTTATGGAAGAGTTGAGTGATAGCAGTGACGTAGCGAGCATGAAAATCGTCCACTGACTCTCCCTCCTCGGGGAAAAGTGGCTTGCCCACAACCACCAAGAGATCCCTGAGTAGGAGGAAACGGGAAAGGAATGAATTTGAGGGGGGGAGGGGAGGAGGAAAGGGTGGGGGTGGGAGGAGAGGGGTTGGGGGGGGTGAGAGGTAATTCTTATTTAGCTAACATATCCATAATCTTATGGCACAACTGCGAATATATGTTGTGAAGAAGCCCACCCCTAGTGTTCACAAAGATCCCATGTTTTCTTGCAGGCCCCACTCCATGAAGGGCACTCCATGTTTTCTCCCATGTGCTTACCGTCTGAAGGGCAGGGTGAGGTTCCAGGCCCCACGCATGAAGGGCACTCCAATGTTGACGTGGCGGTTCACCTTCTCCCAGAACTGAAGGAACCACACTGGGTCGTGCTTGAAGAGCTGATGGGGGGATGTGGGAGCAGCAAGGAATAGAAATGCGTTCAGTGGGGTGTAAGAAAGGAGTGCCTGTGGGCGTTGACCTTCTCCCAGAACCAAGGGATCGCACTAGGTCGTGCTTGAAGAGCTGATGGGGATGCGGGAGGAGAACACCAGGAAAATGCATTTGGTGGGCGGTGAGAATAGGGTGTTTGCTGTGGTCGACTTCCCGAAAAAAATGAAAGAAGCGTGCAGGATCATGCTTGAAGAGCTCGCGAGATGCATTATGAGCAGGCACGGGCTAGATAGCGAGAATGGGAAACAAAGACGACTTTTGAGGCGGCTCAAAACTCGAGAGATGCATTATGAGCGCGCACGGGCTCGATGGTGAGAACCAAAGAGAATACTCGACAGTCACCGTTTTCAAGGACTTTAGGGAAGAGCAAGAGTCATGGTTGCAGGAATGCATAAGCAGGAAAGACAGGGAGTGCATGGAAGGACGGGAGATGGTGGGGGTGTGGTATTTAGGAAAGGGGTGTGAGAAAGGGGTGTGAGAAGGTGGGAAATTTATGGGGTGCATCCCATCATGATGAGAAGGGTGTGCATCCCATCATGATGAGAAGGGGGTGCATCCCATCATGATGAGAAGGGGGTACATCCCATCATGGCCCCTACATTCCAGATCGTGCACTGCATGGCCTGTGACACACATACACACCTGGTTCTCATTGAAACAGTAGATGGGAATGACTCCCACCTTCTCCTGCACTGCTATGCGCGCAAACCCCTTCCTGTTAGCCCCACCACACCAGCACCACACACAAACCAACCAACCAACCAGAATCAGCACAAACGGAAGGGAATATGGGTAACCCTATTGTACACCGGCAACGCAAGGAACACAACAACATGAAGAGCAAAGCCTAAGACTCGCCCCCCCAGGCCTCAATCCTCAGCATGATCGTCCACGCGCTTTTTGCCTTCCTGCTTCTATTTTTGAGGCGCCTCAAAAATCGTCTCAGTTTTTTTAGGCGCCTCAAAAATCGCCACAATCCTCAGCATTATCGTCCACGCGCTTTTTGGCCTTCCTGCTTCGTTGTCTTCCTTGTTCTCCCAACCCTTCTTCCCACAACTAGATCTACAAACGTAACACATCACCCAACCATTTTCACCAACATTTCTCGAACCACCAGCGTGAATGAGTACCGCTTATGTAAACTGTTTCATACCTCCTCATCAAATAGAGCTTGTCGGTGTGGGAAGTTGTGCCAAGGCACACCTCCTTTAGGCCCCCGATCACAATGGCCATCTGCAGAGCAGTACACACAAGGGATCAGTTCAAGACGCGGATTAGTTCAAGATGGGGATTAGTACAAGAGGATTGGAGTGTTTTTGAATGACAGAGGATGCACTTCTTCTGGCGATTACCCACATAGGGAGGTACAACAAGCATACATCGCGTGTCACCGGCACCCATTGACGGCATGCTGGATTCATGACAGCTAGTTCCACAACTGACGTAATTCTTCTTCCTCAGCTCCAGCTGTGAGCCTCTCCACTCTCATCCAACACCTCAACAACTCACGTGGTACTTCTTCCTCACCGCTCTCATCCAGTTGTGAGCCTCCAGCAGGTACAGCAGGTTGGCAGCACATGCCCCCATGCAAGCCTCACCCCTCTCAAGCAATGGCTCGGCAAATGACAACTCACGTGGTTCTTCTTCCTCAGCTCCCTCCGGATGGTCGATTCGCTGGCAGGCATAGTCCCCAGCAGGTACAGCAGGTAGGTAGATGCCATAAGTTGCTATGTGAACCCTACCTCACTCACTCAACGGCTCAACAACTCACGTGGTTCTTCTTCCGCAGCTCCCTGCGGATGTTTGATTCACTGGCAGGCATGGTCCCCAGGAGGTACAGCAGGTTGCGCAGCACAGGCACCGAGTAGAACCCCGCTGCTGCCCCGGCAAAGAAGTCACCTGAGGGCGGGGGAATGTTCGTGATGCAAGGCAAGAAATGCGTTTTGGAATTGCAGGGACTAATATTTCAGGCATACGCAGGGACAGAATTCCCGTGTAGTAGGGCACTCGAAGTAAGAAAATAAAGAATTTTTACACACCTTTGGGGCAGAAGTTTTTTCTCCATTCGTAGTTGGTCTGGATCATCATAGTGTTGGTGTAGAACATCCGGCCGTGTGGATGGAACGCGAAGATGTATGCACTATCGGGGATGAGGTCCTTGGGTGCGATGTAGCGCACCCGCTTCATGTAATACGCCAGAGCCTCGTACAGGAACTGGTGACGGGCGGACGAAAGGGACAATAAATGAGTTATAACGAAGGGTGTACTATTGGAGATGAGGTCCTCGGGGGCGATGTAGCGCACCCGCTTCATGAATTACTAGTCGTCGAATTGCTTGTGGAACGTCGCGAAGGTCAACAATATCAATAACAGTAGAACGTCCCGTGCCCCAGACCACGGGGCACAACGGGACCTTATTTAGAGGCTGCAGGGTGTGAGTAAAACGGGATTGTATCACCCGTGTACGCCCGCAGGCGTTAAAGACTTAGAGGTAGCTCAAGTGCTAAAGGGATGGAAGCTATGGCACTGTTGAACTTACCACCTAGTCGCCATGGCTCACTCATGACCAAAAAGATGGACGCAGCGGTGACGTCTCTCCAGAAGTATCTCATTTGTAAGCCCTTGTTCTTCATGTGAAAATTTCAAACGCAAAAACATCTCCTTCGCATAATTCAAGCTCCGCACTTACAACGAGGCGACGGCGAATGGAGCGATTGTAGAAGGGCGGGCAGACCGCGAGGATGAAGAGAACGACCGTTGCTATAAGTGGACCCCACCAACCCAGCATCCTGCAAGAACCGTTTCAGTGCGCCGCGACAGTGGTAGTGTCAGCAGGGTTACAGACTTTGAGAAATGCACGAGAACGTTATACATAACGCAAACGTTTGAAGGGAGGGAGAAAGTGAAGTCACAGAGAAAAAGCTCGGAGAACGAAATGTTCAAGCACGTGGATACTGTGTGAAGGTTATAGGAAGGCTTTGGTAGTTGGGATGACATGTACAAATCGGTAGACAATGTGGTCGATGAGGATGAGTGTTGCGTATACGATGGTGTGGATCATGGTGTAGATAATGGTTGAGATAATGGCGAAGATGATGGTAATGGGTGTGAGAAGGAGATTAAAGTGGCGGATAACATTAGAAAACATACTGGTAAACAAGGAAGAACTTGAGGACGGTGTTGACGGCAAACATACTTGTGAACAGAAGAGAAGGCAAGGCAAAGAGTATGCGTTGAGGATGTGGCGGTATGAAGATCGGTGTGAAAGGGGGGGGAGCATAGTCACAGGAATCATTGGAAGACTTACTGGTATACAAGGTAGTAGTTGAGGATGGTGTTGACGATAGGCATGAGTGTGAACGGAATCATGTGGTAGCAGTAGACGATGAGAAGATCCGATAGACGCATTGGCCGTGGCTTCACCATATCGTGGATCTCCATGCCATCCTTTTCTAGAAGCTTCGACAGCTCCGCCTCGTCTTTCCCATCCTCCGGCGTGTATCTTAACTCATCTTTATACTCGTTCTGAGCAGGCTGAGAAACAGCTCGCCGGACAACGGTGCTTTTAGGATCTGATCCGTCCATGCCGTTTGAAACGCTCGTCTGCATTGCTGTGGCGACGTTGGGACTCATGGCAATTAGTCCCTCGGTCTTACCGTGATACGCCTATGCTCTCTACAGCGAATCTCTCGACCTTTTTCACAAGGTGGTATCACCTTACCCAGTGCTACGTCTAATAAAATAAAGGAAGTCGATGTGTGTTCAGTTGCTTCAAAAAAGACAAGCACAACTCCCACAGTGGTAGGAAGGAAGTTTCAGCCTCTTAGGCTGGCTTTGTCCTGCTTTGTGTTGTGCATCTCGGAAATGGTTTCAGATCTCAGAAATAAACAGTGCCACTGGTTCGAGCTCTGGTGATGAAATTGAAACCATTGCTGTTTCTGGAGGGAAAACAGGGGTGCTACAGCTGTAATCCTTCGAGAACATCTAGGTGAGATTGGGAATATGGACGGTGGAGATAAGTTGGATTTGCCTGGTTGTGTTTTGTCCACCCGAAACCACCTCGAGGTTGCTTCGTTCCCCATGAAATGACAGTCGGTAGCTGTGACGTGGACATGGCGGGAAAATTCGACCTCGGGGATTCCGCTGATCTGGGAAAAATACCGGAGAAAGACAGCGCGGAGAGCGCTAGTCCACGGAAATAGGAACTGCAATGCTGGTCCTAGAACACAACGAGAAATAGTACGTCAAACAACAGAAACAATCAACAGTGTTTCAAAATGTATCTCAAGAGGTCTCTTGTTGCAAGAAAGGATTGGCTATTTCCTCGGTGCCATCTGTTGGAGCTATCAGCATCACCGCTGTTCCTCTGCATACCTGTGCAACAGCAAGAGGTGGGTAGTTTGACGAGAGGGTGAGGTCGAGAGGAAGAGGAAGGTTAAGGAAGATATAGACCGCTACTTCTTGAAGGGGGTGGCATGCAACATAATGCACAGCACAAGGAGAGGGGGATGACATGCAAAAGAAGCTGCACAAATGGATAAACAACAAAAGCAAGGGGTGCAGGATTGCAGCATGTACAGAAACACGGAGCGAGCTTACAATGAGCCCTAGCGGTCGTGTCTGCTCGGTCAGACGTAGGGGATCCTCTGGATCTGTAGCGGGTGATGCAACAACGAGGACAACGGAGACCAGAGATCAGGAAGAGCGTTAACAGGGAAGGATAAGCAACACAGAAGAAAAATCCCAAACAGGTCACCTTCTCACAGAAGAAAACCCTGTATCAGAAATTTCTCAGGTTGCTTGCTCACTGCAACTCAGAGCACAAGCCCTAGGCTACATGCACATCCATATCTCACCATCCTCTCGCCCCTCTGGCACCCCACGATACGTATGCTTGCACCTTGCTCTGTTACCCTCTTGCCCTGGTGCATGTGTTCATCCCACCCAAACAGATCTCGTTCACGGTAACCACACTTCCCCACCTGAAAGACCAAGCACACCTTGTCTTCCTCCACTTCCGTGCATGAAATTGCATCCCACAGCCGCCTTTACAATCCCCACCCGCCTCTTCTGGCCCCTCCCCCACACTCAGCTGCCTCATTTAGTACCACTTCCACGCCGCTCCGCCCTCGACCATCTCTCAAACCACGCTCAATTCATCCCAACCTTTCCTATTGCAGCTCTCTCATACTCCACTGCAGTATCCATGGCATTCAGCTGTTTCATACCCCTTCAACAATCAGTTGCACAACCACAACAGTCCCTCCTCCCGTCGTTCCTTCCCCTCTGCTCCACCCTTCTCCCACCAATCGGCCCAGGCCCTCTCCCCACTCACACCCGCCCTTCCACCCCCCCCGTTATCCCATCCCTCCGTTCTCGTCTCACCTACCTCGCTCATACTCCACCGCCTCATCCAGCACGAGGTTGATCAGCTGGTCGTACCCTTTCAACGTGCCCATCACTGGTGGTGTAGGAAGGGAGGGGGGGGGGGTTGTGGAGGTGGGGGCGTCAGGGGAGGAGAGGAGAGGGGACGAGCCTCATCCAACACGAGGTTGATCAGCTGGTCGTACCCCTTCAACGTGCCCATCACTGGTGCCGTGCCGGGGGGAAAGGGGGGAGAACGGGGAGGCGAGGGGTGGGGGGAAGAGGTAGGTTGAGGAGGGGGGAAGAGAGAGAAAGGTAGGGGACGGCTGGCAAAGGGTGTCGGGGCAGTTAATATGGAGACAGTTGCAATGAGATTATGAGAGTTGCTGGGAACCTCTGAGAGCAGGAGAAGGAGATGGGGAGATTCTTTGGGAACGGAACCAATTACCCAGCCGGCCAGCCAGCCAGTTAGCCTGTCAGTTCCTGCCACGTGGTCCCCGGTTATCATCACCTTGATCTTCACGCACACGCCCCTATAATCACCTTGTCGTCCCCCGTTGAGCTTCACACACACGCCCTTATCCACCAGCCTCGCTAGGTCCAGTACTGTTTCCTTGCGACCCGACTGCCACAAACGGGGCAGGGCATGCATACGCGTAACGGGGGAGAGTATGAGCACAACGGGGAGAGCATAACGGGGATTCTGTGTTTGAGGCGCCTAAAAAACGAGTCCACCAGCCTCGCTAGGCCCAGCACTGCTTCTTTGGACTCGACTGCCACAAACGGGGCAGAGAATAACGCGGACGACGGGCGGGATACCAGAAAGAGAGGCGAGGGGAACAGAAACGTGGGCGATGATTGGGTAACCATAAGGAGAGGCGGGAGGGAGATGGAATGGAAGGGGCAGGGGAGGGAGGGGGAAAGGTCTGTGGAGGGGTGGGGGGGGTCAATGGGAACGATGAGGTGTCGTTACGGCATTGTACGTGAGAATCTAGGTTAAACTGTCTCGATCGTCGCTACGTGTGGTCACGACTTGTCGTTGTCTAGAGAGCGTTTAGTGAAAGGGTGAATTTGCAAAAAAAGAGGGGAATAGGTGCACCATGGTTCGGGAAGAGGAGGGATGGCGGTTCGTCTGAGGAAGAAGAGATGCGGCAAACGAGATGCCGTCGAAAGACCGAGAAAATCTTTCACAAATCCAGATGTCTAGTCTTCCGTTGAAGCGCGAATTCGGAGTCGAGACGGGAAACAAAGCAATCGAGATGCGCAGACCGTTGTCCTTAGATGGAGCGACAAAGGAATATTAGGGCGCTTCACCTGTCGGTTCGAACAACACACTCGTTCGAACAGGCGAAGCGTTACTTATTTCGCCTATGTTCGTAGTGGTTTTCGTGACGTCGCGAAGCACAATTTCGCCAATTTGAACAGAGCTGTCACCTCAAGCACGATTTTCATCATCCCGCACGTTCGAACACGTTTGTTCGAACAGGTTGGGATAGGTGACACACAATTCCGCACAAACGACTGATATGATTGGTCCACAGTCTTCCGGGTCGCCCATGAACGTTTGCGACCCGGCCAGACGTCGCCAATGTTTGGGACCCAATGTTTGGCGACGTCGCTCTTTTGTGGGCGACGTCGCTGTGTTCGAACAGACCGCGTGTGCGAATAGCGATGGCGTCACCTGTGATGGCCTGTGTCACATTCGCTCATTGTACGTATTTGTGTTCGAACTCATTTGGGATACTGTTCGTACAGTCAAACTGATACGTCGGTTCGGATTTTGGCCTTCCGCCCCTCAGGTGAAGCGCCCTTAGAATAATCGGAGAATGGCTGGGCTTCCCCAAAAACGATTTTCTAAACTGCGGTTGTATTTCCGTGAAGGAGATTCATCCGTAACAGATATAAACCCACATTTTCATAGCCACATGGCTTAGCCTACATTTTTCGCAAAGCTGGTGCGTTGATATCGAAGATGTTTCCATCCTACAATTTCGGGTCGCTAATGATCCAGTCCGACGTGGCAGATAAGCAGCATCAGCGAGGAAAGTACAATGAGCCGAGGGTCCATTTTCAATATTACTGCAAAACACTGATGCACCGAGACGTCTTTTCAAAACGGGGACGTTTCATTCACACCGAGAGCCAAAAACTCCCTTCAGCGATGCCTTTGTTCGGTGTTTGAGGAGCCACATGATTTGAGACTTTTGCTGAATATCCCTGGTTCTGCTTCTCGAACCTAGAGATTCCCGACGGAACACGTCCGTAACCTTGTTGTCACTCTGGTCCACTGTCGTCTCATTTTCTATCATGCTCGAAGATTTCTGAGATTACGCCCCTCACATCACTGTCATCTCACTAGGCAAGCTGCTGCAAACCAGTCAGTTTACGAATTTCTTGTCCTAAGCCTTGTTGCTTTCACCACCCCGCAAGTCGCGTCGCTCATTGCCGACCTTTCCCGCGCTCTTTCTCTTTATCGTTTCTCGCTCGCGTCAGCCATGGCGGCCGTGTCGCTCCCGGTTCGCCTGTGCTCCGTGCCGTCCAGCCCGTCGTTCTCGCCCAGCGTGAGGCGGCAAGGGAGCCTCTCGCGACAGCATTCGCGACACTTTAAGGTACACCTGGAAGCCTCGCACCGGCGTGCGAATGATGTTACGAATCGCCGGCAAATAATGTTATCCGATAAGAGTCTGAGCGGCACACGTGTATTGTTAGCGCGTGCTCATTGGTTGACATCCAATGCGCGGTGAGAACGACTTGCGTCACGTTTTGAGAAACCCCAGGACTGACGTTAAATGAACCAACAGGTACAGATACGTGTGCCCCTAATGCTATTTGCTTGCTTCTTAGAAGCACCTGTTATCCTTCTCTTTTGTTGTTGTTGTTGTTGTTTTTTTTTTTGGAGATACTACTTATTTTTGAAACGCAAACGAGGTCGTCATAACACGCATGATTTTTGTCAAACCTGCACCGTTGCGCAGGATAACACGTGTCAGCCCTGCGAGAAGCTGCTTCAGGAGCAGCGACGTCAGCAAGAGCTTCATGCGAGACCAAAAAGCCGCGGTCTTTCCGCCGACAAACGCGCCGCCTCTCGCGGCACCTCCGTCAGCATGGCCGCCGGCGGTGGCAGCAAAACCAGCGGCGGCGCGAGCAGCAGCAAACCCGCGCAAAACGCGGCGGCTAACACGGCGTCCAACACGGCGGCAAACGCGGCGGCAAATGCGGCCGCCATGGCTCAGAAGTTCGTCAAGTCGGTGGAGTCGGCGCCAGTCGTGCGGAGAGTCGACGCGTGGGCGGTTAAGAATAAGATCCCCAAAGAGCTCTCCCTAGCCTTGCTCTGGTCCGCCGCCGTGCTCTCCCTCGCTGCAATCACCCTCGTTTTAAGGTTCATATTCGGTCTGCTCCGGGTCGTGTTCTCTGCTGTTGGAAACCTGTTCCGAAAGACTCCTGCTGCTTCTGCTGCCGCTGCTGCTCCTGCTGCTGCTTCTCCCGCTGCCGCTGCTGCCGTTTCCGCCGTTGCCGTGACTCCCGCGGAGGCTGCGGCGCTGGTGACGGTGCCGACGGTTGAAGGGGTGCTGGAGGGGCGGGTGGAGGAGGAGGAGGCGGTCCGGCAGCGACTGGTGGAGATGGAAATAAGGGAGAGGGAGGAGGCGAGGAAGAGAGAGGAGGAGAGGAGGAGGGAGGAAGAGGAAAAGGTGGAGAGGGAGAGAGTTGCGGCGGAGGTGAAAAGGAAGGAGGAGGAAGTGAGGAAGAGGGAGGAAGAGGAGGAGAGGAGGAAGGTGGAGGAAGAGGAGAGGAAGAAGGAGGAAGCGGCTAGGGTGCGTGCGGAGGCGGAGGAGAAGGAGAAGCGAGAGGAGGAGGAAAAGAGGAAGAGGGAGGAGGAGGAGCAGGAAGAGGTGAGACGGAAGGCAGAAGTTGCTGCAGCAGAGACGGCTAAGGCGGAGAGGGAGCAGAGGGAGAGGGAAGAAAAGGAGAAGGAGCAGGAGAGGGAGGAAAGTGAGAGGAAGGAGAGGGAGGAGAGGGAGGAGATAGAGGAGAAGGCAAGGCAGTTGGAGGAGGCATGGCAGGAGGAGAAGCGGCAGCGCGCCGAGCTGGTGGAGCAGGCTGTTGCTGACGTGGCACGCGCGTACGAGCGCAAGCTTGCTGAGCTGGAGGCGGCGCACGAGGCTGAGGTGGCGGCGGTGCGGCAGGCCACGGAGGTGGGCGGGGCGATGGGCGATGGACAGGTGGAGGAGATGGCTCGGCTGAGGGTGAGTGTGGGGATGGGTGGGTGAATGGGTGAGTGAGTGGGTGGGTGGGTGGGGTGAGAGAGTGGACGCGGGGCTTTAAAGGGTGATGGGCGACGGACAGGTGGAGGGGATGGCTCGACTGAGGGTGAGTGAATGGGTTGGTGGGTGGGTGGGTGGGTGAGTGAGTGGGAAGGAAGGAGAATGAGCGAGTGAGTGGGCGCGGGCTCCAAGCGTTGATAGGCGACGGATAGGTGGAGGAGACGGCTCGACTGAGGGTGAGTGGATGAGATGTGTGGTTGGATGGGTTGGTGAGGTGATGGGCGATGCACAGGTCGAGGAGACGGCTCGACTCAGGGTGAGTGGGTGGTAGAGTGAGTGGGTCGGAGAGTGAGTGGGTGGGAGAGTGAGTGGGTGGGGTGGTGTGGTTGGATGGGTTGGTGAGGTGATGGGCGACGGTCGGGTGGAGAGTGTGCGAGTGGGAGAATGGGTGTGTGGGAGAGGTGGGAGAGTTGGTGAATCGGAGAGTGGGTGAGTAAGAGAGTGGGAAGAAGTGAACTTACCAACCCAAAACCTCACTCGCCATGAGAGTGGGTGAGTGGGAGGGTGAGGCAGCAGTCTAGCAGAAGGCACACGAGAAGAGAGCGAGAAAGAAATGCACGCGGAACAAAAGGAGCATGAGAAAGCAGGAGGAAGCAGGAGGAAGACGCGGAGTTACGCCTAGGCATGCCACCACTTGTTCTGGCAAAAGAGGTGGCAGAACAAGAGATGGATGAGGAGCAGAAGAAGACACGGAAGATTCGGCAGCTGAAAGGAGCCCTCACCTGCTGCGAGTTGACTTTTGAGTCGACTCAAAAGTCGACTCGGCAGCTGAAAGGAGCCCTCGCCTAGTGCGCCCCTCCCCTTTCCCCGTTGGAACCTCCGCTTGCCCTTGCCACCCACAGGAGGAAGCTGCAGAATTACGGCGTGGCATGGCGCTAGCGAAAGAGGTTGCTGAACAAGTGATGGATGAGGAGCAGAAGAAGACTCGGGAGATTCCCCACGCACCTTTCCACCCCTGACCTCCCTCCCACTCGCCAACTCCCTTCTCAGGAGGAGGCGGCAGAACTCCGCCGCGGCATGGCGCTAGCAAAAGAGGTTGCAGAACAAGTGATGGATGAGGAGCAGAAGAAGACTCGGGAGATTCGGCAGCTGAAGGCTTCACTCAAGGAGGAAAAGGCGAGGATGGAAAGGGAGAGGGGGAAGCTGCAGGCAGAGAGGGAGGAGATGGAGAGAGAAGCAAAGGAGATCGAGGAGGAGAGGCGGAGGGTTGTGGACGAGTTGGCACGGGTGGAAGGGGAGAAGGCTGGGGTTGAGGCGGCAAGGAAGCAGGTGGAGGAGAGGAGGAGGCGCAGTGAGGCGGAGAAGGAGAGAATGAAGGAGGCGAAGGTGA